TGTAAAGTGACGATAACCATATACAGGTTGAGAAAATAAATAGATATGATTTTCATATAATAAATAATATATTGTATTGTCTTGTCAGTGATCATGTTAAGATATTGTAATTAATCGAAGGATATAAAATTCTAGAAGTTTCAAGAAATGCTAGAGGTTTTAGGGTTCAATAGGTGGAGGGATGACAACATAGATGTGATTTTTGAATGAAATCTGAAAGAGATACAACACTTGACTCCTTGTTGAGAGAATGTAATAAAGTGGTTTGAAGTGAGACTTGTGAAAAAGATTCACACTACTCTGTAAAGGCTATCACAGAAGGTGATGAGTAGAAGAAAATAATAACTTCAAAAGAAGTTGAGCTATAACCATGGCTAAATCATTTATAATTTATAATTTTATAGTCTAATCTATTTATCATTTTAAGCATTGATATATTCCCTTGTAAAGGTCTTGGGTATAATATAAAATCATAATTTTATGATTTGAATCATCATATTTATCCATTGAAAATATGCTCCAAAATTTTCAAAAATCTATTTTTTAACACTTTTGATCTTCGAGCTCTATATTAATAGGTGTTAGCAGTTATTGATTATAGGTTGTAATTGAATTGTGGTAATATCAATTTGTCAACGAACTATCATTATTATATGCATTTTATGTTTGTGTTCATGATGTTATCCTTCACCGTTGACAATGGTGTTTGTTTGTATCTATCATTTGTCTGAGTTATATGATTGAGCTTTTAATTCTCTTCATATATAATCTTATTTATGATTAGGTAATTAGTTTACGCATTTTAATGATTTTAGAAAAATAGTCGACTTATATGATTAGATTACGCTTGTTTTATATATATTGCATTTTCACATTTTACACTTGATTTATACAACTAACTACTACTGTTGGTTAAAAAATACATAAACCTAAGTTTTGTCTCATCGGTGTGTCGTTCATCTCTTTTCTTTTCTTTTCGCTTGTTGATCGACAGCGACATCAACTTTAATGTTGGTTGTCGATCGTTCGTATTTTTATTATCTTTTTCCTTTCTTATATCTCTATTTTGCTTTTTGATTTTCAACATGTATGTCTGTATGACATGTTTTAATCTGCATTGTACGTTTTCATTTGTCTTTATGGCACATTTTCATCTGTTTTTATGGCACGTTTTCATATGCCTTCATGGCACTATATGATTAGATTACGCTTGTTTTATATATATTGCATTTTCACATTTTACACTTGATTTATACAACTAACTACTACTGTTGGTTAAAAAATACATAAACCTAAGTTTTGTCTCATCGGTGTGTCGTTCATCTCTTTTCTTTTTCGTCTTTGTTGATCGACAGCGACATCAACTTTAATGTTGGTTGTCGATCGTTCGTATTTATTTATTATCTTTTTCCTTTCTTATATTATATCTCTATTTTATTTTGCTTTTTGATTTTCAACATGTATGTCTGTATGACATGTTTTAATCTGCATTTATAGTACGTTTTCATTTGTCTTTATGGCACATTTTCATCTGTTTTTATGGCACGTTTTCATATGCCTTCATGGCACACTTTCTTTTGTCTTTTGACATATTTTTCAGTTGTTTGACCCTCTTTTTTCATTTATCTTTTTCTAAGGGTTGATTTGATAATTTCACGAAAAATCAAGATGACACTTATTTGATATTTTATTGATCTTCCCTGTTTGGGACTCTCAAAGTGGATTTGGACACCTGTTTTGCGTTCATGGATAGCTTTTCAAATCGCTTGAGTCTAATTTGTGATTTTATTGGTGATCTTTCAATAGTTTGATCTTTTTTTGTGGTTCATTTGTTGATGCGATCATATCTATTTGTATATATCTTTTTTTTTTGCGTTTCTTAGTAAGATTTTTAATCTTTCCTCATATGATCCTTATGATATTAGGTTGCTAGTTTTGTTTTAATGATTATAGGAAATTGTTCTAATTATGTGCTTAATTTACGATTTTGATTGTAAATCTTTATTGTAATCTCAAATATTTTCCATTTTAAATAAAATTAGTTGCTACCTATAAAAAATACATAAACCCATATCCTAAATAAAACATTATCTTTTGTTTCAAAAAATCTTAAATATAAAATAAATTTTAAATATATGATCAAATCCTTAAATGTATCTATCAAACCATCCCATATTGGTTAAAGCTTGTCCATATTCTTTAATAAGATTTTCCGTGCAATTAACTTGACTCGTGTATAGTGAATTTTATAGGTAAAGTTACTCATGAATCATAATTTTAAATTAAAGTTTTATTTCATTCATATCCTTAAATAATATCCATATCTTTTCACAAAAAAATTCATCTAAAGTTCTATTTATAAATATTTATTCAAACAAAAATCTAAACACTCAACGTCTGAGGTTCAATTTTCATTACCAAAAACCTAACTTTTTGGGAGATAAAATTTCAAGTATTGATGAGCCGAGGACTAGTACTTAGCAATCCTTTTGTTGAACCAATGGAAAAGACCTAATGAGAAACTCATAATTGCAACCACAACAATTTTCTTAACAATGATCTCACCTTTAAGGATATGCCTTTTGATGCAATGTTTTATATAATTAGAAGCACTAAAATTTAATTAAAGCCAATGGCTAAGTAAAATCAAAGTTGAGATGGAAACATCATATGATCAATTTCTTGCTTACAAGTGGCATCAAAGCAATTGATGTTGACTGCTGAGCAGGGGCAAATGCATAGGTTATTAATTACACGCAATTTGATTTTTTTTGTGTTAATTATTTATTTTATTTAAAGTATTTATTTTAAAATTTTATTTATACATATTTCATACGAAAATTTTGTTAGCTCGTATCTGCCCCAATGACCATTCTACATATATTGTGTGGCAATAGCTCTTCATTCGAATAGCCGACGGTAGATATATGGAATAGTGGTCCTCATCTCGTCTTCTTGCTTCAAAATTAAACCTTTTTACTTAATATTTGGTTGGCTAATAAATGCATGCATATTGTAAATGAACTGAATCGAAATTCTTTCTACTTCCATTTTTTTAAATAAAATGAAAACAAAGTTTTCTCAAGAAACAGACTTTTTTATTCAAATGTACACAATTAAGAATAATTTATCATTATAACATCAATTCCAGATTATTTTCAATCTAACGCTCTTTTATGTCACGTAAAAGGAAGATGTTTTCTACATGAAACGCTTTTCAAAAATCACGTTTTGCAGGAAGCTTTTTCTTTTACATGACATAAAAATGTCATAATTCTTTAAGTTGGTCCGAAATGAAATTAAAAAAAATAGGGGTGCAAATATGAAAGAAAATTATATAAATTTTATCCAAAAAGAATAAACGTGGGCGTTGTGTTTCAAAGATATGTAATTGCACAAGTACTTATAAGAGTCGAGCTCGGCGACAACTACGATGCACGTGTATTATCTCATAATGTTTAGATATGTGATTTTTGGAGTGTTTAACTATAACATTTGAATCATGTATCTATTAAATGATTATACATAAGGTTAATACAATCAGTTCATCACCGTCTAGCTTGGTTCGTTCTTGTGTAATTACGTGTTCTCGACACTCATCGTGCATGTTTGTTATTTTTAGACAAAATTCACTCTTTTCCATATTTTTATCATTTTTTCTTTCCTTACATTCCAATTTAATCGAGATTACCAAAAGACGCTTCTCGTAGAGCATACTTTCTATAGAGTGAGTCTTTACTTTCGTGACAAAAACTTACTAATTCAGAAATTAGTCGTATATAAAGACTAGAATGGGAAATAATTTTATATTGGGTGACATTTGAATAAAAAATATCAAGAAACTTAGGTGGCGTTTGGTTCGTTGGAATACCTTAGAATTAGGGGGAATTAGAATCCAATTCCACCACTTTCCCATGTTTGGTTCAAGTTTTCAAAGGGGGAATTGAAATCCAATTCCACCACTTTCCCATGTTTGGTTCAAGTTTTCAAAGGGAGAATTGAAATCCAATCCCACCACTTTCCCATGTTTGGTTCAAGTTTTCAAAGGGGAAATTGAAATCTAATTTCATCAAGGGATGGAAAGTAAATTTAATCCATAACATGATGGAATTGAAATCATTTGGAGGAGGGAATGTGAAATTTGACCATACTACCCTCATCAATCTTTTGGTATTCGGGTTGGATTTATTTTAAAAAAATCAGGATCGGGTTAATTTTTTTTAAAAATATCGGGTTTGGGTCTGGTTTTTTTAAGTTTGATATTCGGGTTGAGCTTTTTTAAGTGTGATATTCGGGTCGGGTTTTTTTAAGTGTTATATTCGGTCGGGTTCGGGTTTAGGGTGAAAAATACCTGACCCGACCGGAAAAAATATATAATTTTACTTTATATATTTATGAATAATTACAATAATACCCCTCTATATATAATTTTTTTAATTAAGTCACTGTTTTTATTGAATAAAAATATTTTTTTATTATTTCAGGTTGAGTTTCTAATTCATATATTCCGGTCGGGTCGGGTCGGGTCGGGTGAAATTTTACTTTGGTCGGGTCGGGTCGGGTCTCGGGTGGAGGTTCCCTTGTTCTCGGGTCGGGTCGGGTGGACCAAAAACTCGACCCATGGCCATCCCTAATTGGGATGATTTTAATTTATGATATTTATTAATATGATTTTTATAATTTATTGAAATAAATAATCAATCAATAAAATGAAAATTTAATATTTTTTTAAATTTTTTATAATATATTGCTACATATAAGTTATAAAACAAACTAATATTAAGCAAAAAAAAAATAAGAAGGGCAATTCTGTCATTTTATATTATTGAAATCAAATTCATCTGACATGTCTGCGAACCAAACATAAAATGGAATTGGATTCTAATTCAATTTTCTACCAACCAAACATGTTTCAGATTCATATTCCAATTCCTACATATTCCAATTCCCTCACATATTCTAATTCTCTCAGAAACATTCTAACGAACCAAACGTCACATGTAAATTTTCTTTTGCCTTTATTTATTTATTTTCATAATATACATCATGCCTAATATGTCCAAATCATATCGTATCTTTTGTTCATTTGGCTGAATAATAATCTTTTCCCCCGTCTTGTACAGAAGAAAAGATTACAGGGCACCGAGGAAATATATCACATCACATCTTCAGGATATGAGGGCTGATATCACTTCTGAATTGGTAGCTGAAAAACCTCCAAAGAAGCTAGTTATATCTTCCACCTTGTAACATTTTTTTACACACACACACACACACGTATATATATATATATGTATAACGATTCTGTTGCATCAGGCTATCGTTTTGTCGCCCCTCTTGTTTGATTCAATGTCGTTTAAGCAATCGAACCCAAGGTCGTTAATACCAAAATCCTGAAAATCAAGCAACCAAGAGCAGTTTTCCTCCCAAGCTGGGAAGCTTGTGGCATTACAGGCTGGTAGATTGTTCCAGGAACAGTCGACTAAGGGAGGTTCATCATCCAGCCATAAGCTACTTAATAAATTAGATTCATCACTGCAAATTTTGTTTAGCAAATCGAAACCATCAGAAGCAGAGCAATTCTCAGCTGGTGTACTCGAATTATCTGCAGAATGGTCAGCATGGGAAATGCTTTCTTCAGCCTTTGCTTCTTTTTCCAATGGCTCATGAGTAGTAGGATCGATCCCCATTTTAATGAGCTTTTTCTTGATGTGTGTGTTCCAATGATTCTTGATCTCGTTGTCGGTTCTGCCTGGCAACCTGGCCACAATCTTCGACCACCTATACAAAAAAGCGAAGAAGATTAGCCTAACTTGAACTAAAAGTCTCTCAAGTGCTATGTTTAGAGTGTAATTTACCTATTACCAAGGCGGGAATGAAGGTCGATAACCAGCTGTTCTTCAGCCTCGGAAAGAAGGCCTCTCTTCAGATCAGGCCGAAGATAATTAGTCCATCGAAGTCGGCAGCTCTTGCCGCAGCGGCGGAGACCGGCCAGCTTAGGGACGGCACGCCAACAACACTGACCATTGGTGAGAATGAAGTTGATGAGTTTCTTGTCTTCCTCCACAGTCCATGGCCCCTTTTTCACACCCAGTTTGTCACAGCAAGGCTGCCTACCCATAATCTAAATTAGTCCTCACCAATATGGTATGCCTGCAAAAACCCAAAAGTCCCACACCCACCTTTATATAAACTACTTGTGCACCATACAAACGCTAATATATATAAACACGAAATTGGAGACTATGTATTTTAACCAAGTTATATAAATATATTCAAAATTTTAGAATATACCTTTCAGTTAGTGGACTGTATGTATGTGTTTTCGGTTGGGTTAATTGGATGACCAGAATTAGGTTTTAGAGTTTTTAAAATAATTTAATTTCGAGTCTAAATATTTTGATTTTGATTTGAGATTTAATTTTCTTTTATTCTGGTTATTCTTATTTGACATTTGATTTTTTTTAGTATGGTCTTCGTGAGTATAAATCATTTCATGTTTTCATCATTTTAAGTTCTATTTTTATTGTAATTGGATTTCCAAAGAATAATTTCTTTGTTTTTCAATGTTTTGTTTACCGAAAGTAAATTGGTCAATATAATTTATTTTTTTATCAACAAATTTTCTTTTTATATTTTATAGAAAGGACTTATAGTATAATTTTTGCTAAGTTAATTTTCGAATTTTTCACTCTCAATGAAACAAATTTAAAAATTAAGGTTTTATAATCAAATCATCAAATTTAAGATGAGAATCAAATACATAGTAATTGAAAATTTACTATACATTCAAGAGTAAATTATACGTTTAGTACTTAAACTATTATTTTAGTTCTATTTTGATACCCAAACTTTATATTTTCACAATCATGCATAATATTTAGTTTAGGTTTCAATTTAGTATTCGCCATTAAAAAATTAACATAACTATTGACGTTTTATTTTTATTTTTTAAAATAATGATGTGGTATTATCTTATGATGATACGTCAACATCATCGTTACGTTTTTAAATGGTGATGTTTCAAAATAAAATTTAAACTAAATATTAAGTATGATTTTAAAAAATAAATTTTAAGTACCAAAACATAACAAAAATAATAATTTAAGAATTAAACCTATAATGTACAACACAATAAAAAAATTACAAAGGGATGGAGTGAGGGACCACCATAGATTCATGAAAAGGACGTTCGAACTAAAATGGGGGGAGTTGTGATGCATAGAAGAGTGAGAGGAGAGTGGGTGATGGATGACCCAAAGACGAATGACTATATCTAAGCTTTCCCTAAATAATGTTCTTCCCATTTTCCTACACAATCACCCTCATTGCACTCTTACTCAACCCTTCCATCATCCATTTCGTCATCCCCACGTTTACTTGTTTCCTTAACCCTAACCCTAACCCTAACCCTAACCCTAACCCTACCACCAATTTTCACCCATTTCGTTATATACGTCCATTTATTCTCTTATTTCCTTACGTCTTATAAGTAATTTTATGTTGTTAACAATTAATTGAAGAAAGACACATTTATATATGATGGATAATTAGCTTATTCTTTAAAAAAATACTAGATTAGTTTTTATATATATAAATTCAAATTTTAAAAATAATATTATTGGAATTCAAATTATAAATTTTAAATGAAAAATAATAGTAAAATAAATATCGATAACACTTCATTTATAAATAAATAAAAAACATAAAATTTAGTTTCTAAATCTAATGGAGTTTTTAAAAGTATTTCTTTTTACACGTGTCCTTAATCACCATGTCAAAAATTTGTTTCAACACTGACTTATGATCGATGAACACACATTTCTTTGATGATGATAGTCAAACTTCACACACAAGTATATAAGTACTTTATAATAAAATAAGATGAGTGGACCCTTTTCCTAAATAGCTCAATTTTTTGTGTGATGATAGTCAAATTTTTTTGGTTATTTGAGTTATATATCTTGGCTTAGGTGAATATAGTTCAATGTGGACCCTTTTCTTAAATTGCTCAACTTTATACTACATCACATATCTAATTAATCACAAGAAAACCCTCGAGTTTTGTATTTCTTGTTTTCTCTTTAAACCTTTATAAATTGATTAAAGCATAAAGTTAATAAATAATCAGTATTTGGCATCTGATTTCAAGATCTTTCTGAATTTCATTTATGGAGGTCTTGCAATTTGATTAAAAAAGACATACCGATCATGGTATAAACTAGGTGGGATACACTTTTTGTCCCTAACATTTATTTATTTTCATCATGCGATATACAAAGTTTTTTGTGTGCTAATAATTGTTGGATTAAAAATTCATTATCGTGGGTACATATGTATAATGTGCAATGCTATATTAAGTGACTTATTATGTTATATGTGTTATAGGTATTAAAGTGTCACTGAATTAAAGTGTAGACATCATAAGTTGTATTCAAATTATAAATACTTAAAATACCGACCTAATATTTAGTTTATATAAAAAGGTAGTGGTCCCAAAAATATGTTAACTTGTATTACTCTTATTTTGTTAGGTTTAATGATTTCAACATATCAATTAATTCATGTATATTTTTGTATCTAGTATTTTTTTTTATGATTTGATATGATATATCTTAAACTTTTTTTCATATATATTATGTTTTGATTCTATTAAGTGATATCAGTGTGTCTTTGTGTTAAATCATTTTTAAGGTTTCACGATATGCCAAGTATCATATTTTGATTTGGTATTCAAATTAAGGACTAATGTTGAATTCTTAAATTTTAATTAATCATTGTATATTTATGTGTTTTGTTACAATTGAAAACTCTAGCGTATATTGTTTTTGTGTTCGTTCATATTATCGCATAATTTTGCAAATATATATTGAGGAAGGAATTGGAAAATGAAGATAAATTATCTGACCTTACATGCGAGACATAGACTGATGGAATTTTCGCTATTGCATTCGGTATTAAGTTGATGAGCGCAGACCAATTAGAAGAAATATACATACATCTTGGTAAGTATATGCTTTATGTAAAGAAAATGATGTACGAACTAACTTACCTCACTGATTAAATGATTCGTTATTGTTTTTAGAGGTCACAGACTCGAGCATCAATGACTGCCAACATTCGCCGTCGGGGAGCTTGCCAAGGTTCATCGAATTCCTAGCGCCACCACCACATTTGTTTTCTGATTCTGGTCAATCGAGACGTCAGCTAGCCTCACCGCCACTGTTGTAACACCCATAACCTGTATACCTCTCCGTATACGAGATACAACTGTCACATCACTTTTAAAACTGTTCATCATTTGAAAACTCGTAAAATTTTGTTTCATTTTATAAAACATTTTAATTTACTTATAATAAAACATACATTAAATTTTACGTAGACAAACAAAAGAGAGGTTCAAACACTTCACCGTTTTACAACAGTTTAATTCAAATACCATTCAAAGCATTTATACTAAACCTATTACATGCAAACTAAAATACATCAAAAGTAGACAAATATGTCATACTATTACTGATGAGGTGACTCTGGCTTGGATGTCCGATGGTCTTCTTACTCAACTTGTATTAAACCTACGCTTGAAACAAACACACGTTAAGTATTACTTAGTGAGGCAACAACTAATTATACAATGAAATCATTATATCACTATTTCTTATCAATCAAATACCAATTCATTATTTTTCCCGTCATTATCATTTCTTTGTAATGCACCCGTAGTGCCCATACAGTTATTCATAAACATATTATGAATCTCGTGGTTTGCACACATAGTGCTGAAACGGTTATTCATAAACATATTATGAATTCCGTGGTTTGCACACATAGTGCCGAAACTGTTATTCATCCACATAGGATGAATTCCGTGAAATGCACACTTAGTGCCGAAACGGTTATTATCCACGTAGGATGAATTCTGTGAAATGCACACTTAGTGCAAAAACGGTTATTCATCCACATAGGATGAATTCCGTGAAAAAAAACTTAGTGTCGAAACGGTTATTCATCCACTTAGGATGAATTCCGTGAAACGCACACTTAGTGCCAAAACGGTTATTCATCCACATAGGATGAATTATGTGAAATGCACACTTAGTGCCTATTTGGTAATCACCACATACATATTAAACAATCATACATATATAATTAGTGCAACATATAATTACACAATTAATTGCACTCACCTGGCTATCTTTGCTACTATATCCAAAATGCAAAGCTGCTTACTTAGGTACTTTGCCTTTGCCCTTCGTTTTACTTGTCTCGGGAGCTTGATTTCGATCTACTCAATCATCCATTAAATACATGTACAATATCAATTTTTAGTATATTTCCTATCAATTTCACTTAAACATTACTCAATAGAACCTATTATTAACTTTTCTACAAAAATATCAACCTATTTTACAATTTTTTACTTCTCAGTATCGATACCCATACCATGGTATCGTTAGTACCACACTATGGTATCGATACTACGGTATGGTATAGATACCAATTGAATCAGTATCAATACTACCTCGTAGATTCATCCCAATTTAGCCTATAGTATCGGTACTGTTCTACTAGTACTGATACCCGTGCTCAGAATTTCTATTTTTAAACTCGATTATCACCCAAATGAGGTCAAATTTTGTTATATTTACACCATACAATACTATTAAACAATTCTTTAACCAACATTCCTTCATTTAGCTACTCAAAACATCTAGTATCCCTCAAGATCATTTGATTCCAAAAATCACACCACAATTTCTAACTTATTTTTAAACTCATCCAATGTTTCTAATCTCTTATTTACGACTTTGACAAGTCAAAACTACTAATAATCATCAATAAACACCAAAATACTAACATATTATTTCAAAACTCATTTTCTAAAATCTCCAATATTTCCTTTATTTCATAGTTTTAATCTCATTTAATCCTTCCTTAAGCTTCTATATCACTTAAGGTTCTAAAAACAATCCATAATCAAAAGCAAAAACTGATTAATTGAAGCTTATCTTTAGAGCTATGGAGGAGGCTTTATCCACGTGAAAGAAGAAGAAAAGGAAATATGATTTTAGTATCTACTTTCCATTTTCCCTTAACTTTAATACCTTATTATAATGCATTTTAAATTCATTTTCATTTAAAGGACCAAAATACCCTCTTAATAATCCATTGTCACAATTTA